TATAAATCTCTGTCCACATTTTCTCATCTGTTCTTAATGAAGCTTTCCTTTTTTATGCATCTTTTAAAACTGTTTATATTAGACCAAAATTTGAAGGGGTCAGATATGACTTGACTTTTTTCTTTCATTTTTTTTTAAAGAACAAAACCATTGAACGCACCACTAATAAAATCCAGATTTGTCTTGAAATCACATCAGGCAGCAGCCTATTCAGTCTCAGGTCTTTCATGTTTGATTAACCCATTCATTTGACATCAGTGTATTTTTAGTTGTATGATCTGCAGGAACTTATTCAGCTCTGCGTCTGATGGGATGTCGCTCTGTGGTCTAGCTTTCTGAATTAGAGTAATGCAGTAGATCCTTGGTCACCGCACCTTCAGATCAGTTTGCCCTCACCCTCTCATGGCTTTGTGACCACAACCAATCCGCTGCTTTTTTCCTCCCACCTCAAAGATGACAACTCCCTAACAGATTATGAGCTCCTTGCAGCAGTCGCCGCAGAGCTAAATTACAAAGTGCTCCATCTTAAGTGGAGTTGCCTTTGTGTCAGTTCCGATCGCACACTCTTCAGTTTCTCTCCTCTTCCTCTGCAAATTCTTCAAATTTTACTTTCACGTTTAAAATCTACACTTTAAAATTTGTTTTCACGCAGCTCTGTGTGATTGTGGTTCCATCTGATTGAAAAGGGATTTAGTCCAAATACTTAAAACCTCTAGCACACATTATTCTAACCCTTATGGTTCTGCTTAGGAAGGCAGCTGTGAAAAATTAGACTCATATTTAAGAAGTTAGTCATGCTTTAGCCCCCCCAACATTCCTTCATATCCCTAATAATCAACTTATTTTAATGTTAATTCACATCTTGGTGCAACTCTGAAGACTTTGAATAATAGTGATAACTTGGGGTATATGTGGCTTCTTGTCTCATTGTTACCTGCATCGCAGCTCCTGTGGAATCTGCAGCATGAAACCACATTAAGGAATGTTTGCCCCTTTAAAGTTTGCAGTTTCTTTGTAGATCCAGGTGACATTTTGCAGACAAACAGCTGCCTGGTGGGAGGTCACGGCTCGCCCTCTAATTAAAGCTTCCCTGAGCTTTTGATCTCAGCAGAGCTGCAATAATGAGGCGCAAACAACAGAGAAGTCCCCTATGCTACGTGGGATTCCTTGCAGAGTTGAGGAGACAGCTGTACTGTTGTCATCCTTCCAGCACATCAAAGACCCAAGCTTTGTGCTTCCTTGTACGCTCACGGTCCATGCTGGGTGATGTAAGCACAAAAAAGGACCAAAGAGTGGCCCCGGCTTCTTCATCAACATCCTCTGAATGACCTGTTTGTTGTTGGACCTTTTTTTTTTTCTCCTCTTCAGAGCTGCGTTATCTTTTTTTTTATATATATATATATAACAATTGTAGAACCAAAACATTTATTAAAAAACTTTTTCTTTTTCCCTTTAAGTACACGAGCCAAGCTTTGCAAATCTTTTCTTCTTAGCTTCATTTATGCTCGAATAAGTCTGATCACATGTATTTTGTTTTCATTATTCATACAGCTAGCTCTTTGTTTTATTCTGCCCTGGTTTATTTATAAATGTCACATTCTGTGGATGCAGCTACAAGGTGGATATCCTAAAGGCTTGAAGCCATTTTCCCAGCAGGTCAACATCTCACAATAGAACAGGGGCAAGTAGAACTGTTCACAGTTGAAGGTGCAGGGTCCTGGTTTTGTGCACGTCGTCCTGCTGTTGCTTCTAGACATGAAATATGTGCCATAATCACTTTCCTCTAGCTAATAATTGCCATTTGGACACTATTCACATAAATCTTATTATATTTTATCTAAACATACCTGTAAAACTGATAGGTATAAATAGATGTAGAATATATTTTTTTTAGCTTTTTCAATCAGACTCCAATTATTCTAGTTTAATTTCCTTTTTCACCCCGCGGATTTTTAAAATAGCCTCTGCCTGCCTATCTACTGGAAAAATCCTATTCTGTTGATAAAATCAGCTCATCCACGAGAAGCAGCTGACCGTCGTGCAGCTGTGTCTGTGCACAGTAAGGCTTCGGCTGCATATCCTCAAGTTCTTTAATGAGCACAGTCTTTAAGACACTTTAGGTGAAAACTAGTCTGGGTGCTTGCAATGCAAAAATGTCCCCCTGGCAGATAGTTTTCCATGTGAAGTTTAGGTTGCACACATCTGCACTTTCTGCTCATGCCTGTTGTTGATATGTGGCCTTTGGAGACACCAAATTATGCTTGCTAATCAAGAGCTACATGTCTTTCCCACTGAGGTATCTTTAAAAAAAATCCTCCATTAGTAAATACCTCTGGTTACAATGTTTTGTGAGCATCTCAACTTACACACACACACACACAAAATAAAATAAAATAATTAAAAAAAAACAATTTATTTGTGCTTAGTGTGTCTCCATCTATGTATGTTCTGGAAAGAGAAGCACCTTCAACAAATAAAAAAAGAGAGGAAACATTTCTGTCACCTCTCACTGAACATTACACATAACCTCTCAATTTTCAAAATTTGTACTATTTAATGCTTCAGTTGAAAAAGCATATATCTCTTTTATATTGTCACTCCTGCAGTGGGGTGGGGGCGTTGCTGTCCTGCCCAAGGACACGTTGACATGCTGCAGGGAATGAAACCCTAAATCAGTGGTCCCTAGTCCTGGTCCTCATGTGCCACTATTCATGCACGTTTTAGATGTTTCTCCGCTTCAACACACTTGAATTGAAGAAGCGAGTATTAACCAGGCTTCTGCTGAACTACAAGACCTGCTGAAGAACAGAGAAACAACTAAAACATGCAGGATAGTGGCCCTCGAGCACCAGGTTTGAAGACCACTGCTTTAAATCATCCACAACGTCCCTCCTCCTGCGATGGTGCACAGATTCCAAACAGTATCAACTCACTTTTTTTTTAATTTAAGGTGAACATTCACATGAGTTCAAAATGCTCCTTACGTCATTTATTTTCTATAAAGTTTGAGATTAGCACCTTGTTGGAGAACCCATCGTCTGCCCTTTAGACCTATCTCACTTCCACAGAAGAAGCAAATCACAGATTTTACCCTAAACATATTAAAGACACTAAAATGAATGCTTTTCAAAACTTTACACATAAATATGGTGTTTTATGAAAATGACCTTGTTGCTACAAGCTAAGCCTGATAAGCATTGCAAATCAAGTCAAATTTGACAGAACTGTAGGTATTCTTTTGACATTTGGATCAAAGTATTACGTAGATATGCATGTTATTTGCACTCAGTTACAGAGGCAGGGCAGGGATATACCACGAGTGCCACACACACTCACACAGGCCCTGAAGGGGATTCAGCTGCCGTTCCTGCACCATGATTAATGTCAACGGCAATATGAGACCCACCACTCCCTAAGGCTGCCTCGGTTTCTTCTTTCTGGCAATGTTTTATCTTTCTAATGTGGTTGAAATACAGATGGCATGGACTTAAAAGGGGAAACCCATTTGTAAGGAACCTTTTAATGAATTAGACCAAATTGGAAAGCCCCCAGCTGAGATTCTTCTAAAATGAGAGGAGTTGAGTTGTGCGAATTCAATCAACAACATCAGTTGCGCAACAGAGCATTTGGTAAACAGCGATCGTTGCTTCTAATCTGAGGTGTACAGTTCATGGGTTTCACTCGGCAACGGTCTTGAAGGGGAGAAGATTTCAGAGTTCGTTGTTCTAAACGTTAGCTTTTTAAGAGAAAATCTCTTTAAATGTGTCCTGAATGTAATGTCACTTCACTGCCACGTCTGCCTTTACTTCTTTCACACACACACACACAGTCTCACAGCTCGTGATCCCTGAGAAAGCTTTTCATTGAGCTCTGAATCCCATGCCAGCGTTCCAAATGAGGAAGAGCTGCTGCATGTTTGATCTGACAGACAGTCTGTTTTGTCCCCTAAACTAATTGTTAGTTGTAAATTTTCCCACAGGAGTTGCCTGTCTTCAAGGATCTTTGTGCAAACATTTCTAGTAGAGAGGAAATGTACTTGAATGGATAGATCATCCTTTAATCTGGCAAATTAGTGAGTGTTTTTACTCCCTTCTCTTTGCTGTATCCTCAGACATCCCTGAGGTAACCTTGGTGTCAACTTGAGTTCTTCCATGTTCTGGTTATCCAGGATTATGGGCTGTTTTCTCCCTGATTAACTAAGAGCTACAAATCAGGTAATGTGCTCACTGCGTGGCGGTTAAGAAGGTGTCGCCCATCAGCCAGGTCTCCGAGCACAACTCTAATTTCAGACACCAGCCTAGCCGGCGGTGATTGAGAGCATAATCCTCTTTGCTGTTTGCACACGTGCCTGTGCAGCTTTACCTGGTGGCAACAGGAACTTCTCAAACATTCAGACTTTATTTACAGTAGTCCCTCGTTTAATGCAAGTGCTACGTTCCAGACACCGCCCCTCCCCCTCACAATAAGTGAAAATCCGCAAAGTATCGATGTTATATTTATTTTAGTATCTCTATGTATTTTAAGGTTTTAGAAACCCTTCCCACACTCTTGAAATGTTCTAAACTCTTAAACCTACGTCATTTTAACAACCTACGTACAGTACTGTCTATGTAGCTACTAAATTTTACTTACCGGGCTCTGCAGAACAGCAGTAGCTCGGTTCGTTTATGGTCTGACTCGGTTCTGTTTCTGCAGACCTACCCTGCAGGGATGAAGCCCACAATCAATGTTCTAAACTGAGAAACTTACACATTTTTAACATACTGGTATGTAGCTACTAAATTTTACTTACTACCTCTGCTAAACAGCAGCGGCTCGGTTCTGCTCCCATTTGGTTCCATTTTGGTGGACCTACCCTGCCAGTTCTAGTCGACTTTCTGGCTCGGGGTAATGGCAGTGGGCTCCGGATGGAGCGCCGGACCTTAAGTGGTGTGCGTCCCGTTCAGAAGTCCTCATGCGCTGGCTACCAGCTCTTAAGATTCACCGATACATCTAGAGGTCCGGTCCGGTGGGTTCCGTGTGGCTCTTTGCATCCACTGGTTGCCAAAGTCACTGTAATAAGCACCAAACTTTTTCCGATCAGATCAAAACTTTCCCTCTAATATTTCAGCAGAAGGAAATGGGGCTTCTGGGTGGGGCACTGTTGGCTTCTGGGAAATGTAGTCCTAATGAATGAGGACACAGTGTAGGCTTATTGAGAGAAAAATACAAAATGGCGGCACCTATCCGAAGTATTTTATTTTTTTGTTGACTTTTTACTGTACTGTGTCCAGTACTGTCCCAATCATATGTGTTATATTAAAGTTGATAATCATGTGTCATGTACAATTTTTTATCTATTTATTTTTCTCATGTTCAATCTTAAGTTGAAAAACCACAAAAGAGCCGAGTCCGCAAAAGTCAAACCGCGAAGTAGCGAGGGGCTACTGTATTTTATTTTTTCAAAATGCATTTAAAAGTCATATGACCTGTACTTTTTGATATATAAAACCCTGAGAACATGCAACAAGAAGACAACTGCTTGAAGTTTTGTACACGTTTTTGTGCAGATTTGTTTTTTTTTCTTAAGTCAAGAAAAAAACAAAAACTAAAGCCAAGTAAGAGTTTTATATCAGAGTGCTCATGTTTAGACTGGTACCAGGATCTAATGTTTGGGCTCATAATGTGGATGCAAAATACTTTTTTTTTTTTTTAAGTGTTTCCTCTAAGACTTCAGAGTTGATTAGTTAAGAGTACAAGACCATGTGCACATAGTTCCAGCATTTAATTGTGGAAAAATAAATGTGTACACATGCAAAAACAGTGTTACAAAATGTTTTACTTTAGCAAATAACTAATTGATAGAATTTACTTCAGCTTTCATTCTAAAAATATTGGCTTTTAGACCTATTAAAGTCTAATATTTTCAAATCTACGTTAAATATTTCATGTACAGCATGAAGCTCAGGACTAAATGAGCAGCTTTACAATCAGATATTGTCATATTTAAACCAATTGTCCCTGCTCAGCTTATTCTAAAGGCGTCTTAACACTCAAGCTTGAGTGCTCTGATTTTTTTTTTGGGGGGGGGGGATCAGGAGCACAAATATTCCACTGCAGGGGTCTTGTTGCCCTCAGAAAACCCACCTTCAGACATTTGCTGCAAGCGGCTCCTAGAATGAGATTTGTCTGAGGATAATGGGGTTAGAAAAAGACCTGGCGTGCGGCGCAGAGCTGTAACAATATCCAGGTACCATCCAGCATGTGGTATCCTCTGTGGTGGGGCAATCAAAAATTCATTGTCATGACTCATAATCCCATAATCATTTGATACAGTGCATGAGTCAGTGTGAAGGAAATATGGAAGTGCTGCAATTAAATTAAAAAAATAAAGCCCCCTTTAAATCCATCACACCATCATTGTTAAAGCGTATCCCACGACCGTGCGAGGCTTTAACGTGAGCGCGTGTGCGATTGTGTTACTGAGTCAGCCTTGTGGCACGGCTGATCGAGTTAGCATACTGGGGCGAAATTGCAGTGGTGGAAGCCAGATAATGTGTTGAGCATGTGGAGAGGGAAACCTAAGCTGTGTTTGATGATTTAGTTGGGAAGCCGTGCAAGACATTGATGCCATTTTCACACAGAAGCCTTGTATTTTGCAAAAGTTGATGAATGCACTGTTCTGTTCAGTTCGGCTTTGTTTCAAAGCAGAGTTGCATTCAGTAAGTATTGCTCAATAAGTGGTAAAACATATAAAAATAGATAATTTATTTAATATAAAAAAGTGTCACTAAACTTGACCTTTTGTGTTTTCTTTTCTCTTTTTTTTTTAGAGCAAGGAAATAGCGTTCCAGCTTCAGGAAGACTTAATGAAAGTCCTAAACGAGCTTTACACAGTAAGTAATGACTGCGTTTTTCACTGATCCACGTGACTTTGCTTGATGAATACTGATGACGAGCACTGAAGCAGCTCTGAGTAATATTGTTAGTAAGTATTAGTTACCAGCTGACAACAATAATCCTGCTGTCTGCCTGTTTTTACTTTATATTTCACTTGAAAAAACAATTACCACAGAAAATGTTTGCTCAGATTCCAGTTTCTTTTTAACAGAAGAAAAACAGTCGTCATCCTCGCCCTTCTTAATTTGCCATGAAAACCCTAAAGGATCATGTTTGTGAATGTTTGACTTATTAAACCCCATGTTGTTGTTTTTTTTAATTGATCACGTTTGTCGTGCTCATTAGGAGGAAAAAGGCAACCCCCCAAAGAGAGATTGGAGTTAAATAGCAACATGTTTTATAAGTTTTCCTTTATGTCCTTTCTTTTTTGGTATTGTTGGATTTACAGCGGATAGCTTACAGTAGAGGTGGAAAACAGAGAGACACATTTCATGTAAGAAATGTCCAGTTAGGGCTTAGACTTCCTAAACACCCAGTAGCCTCACCATTAAAACTACCCATGTGTCACCGAAGCACTTCTGACCCGTTGTGCACATACGCGTGACCTCTGGTGTAGTTTGGTGTTGAGAGGAGATGCTGGGAAGAGATAAGTCCTGCGGGTTGTGGTTTTTCATGGGTCGGGGTCTTTCAGGAGTTTTCCCTGGATGTTCATCCAGAGTGGGGTCTGGGCTGGTTCAAGGACACTCCACAGCTGTTGGAAGAGGCTGCTGATGAAGAGACTTGGATCCAACAAAGTTCAGTCAGGTCATCTGGACGGTTTCTTTTTTTTTTTTTTGTTGTTGTTGTGGAGACGTTTCGTGTAGGGGGCTGTGTGTTCAGATGCACTTCTGCAAGTACATTTTTAGTTAAAAAAAAAAACCTTTTCAAAGTAGGTTATGGATATTCGGCTGAAAACGGACTGAATTTGTCCTAAAAGTGAAAGTTTAGTAGATGTTTATTCAACCTTTATTTATACAGGTTAATCCCATTGAGCCTCGGGGACTCATTTACAAGAGAGACCTGATTTTAACAAAGAGTGATGACAACAGTGGACAACAAAGACAACAATAGATAATCATAAAATATGCGTACAAATTTACATTTTTATTTATTTATTTTAAACAAGTGAAAATAAAAAGGTAATTAAAAGGAAAAGTAGCTCAAAAACAGCTAGATTATAAGGCGGTGTAGAAAACCAAAAACAGGAACATGTCTGCACTGGTTCTTGCCAGGAACTTAACAGATGTTCAAAGCCACTTAGAGAGGTCAAGGTCGAGAGCTTCAGATCTTTTTGTAAGATATTCAAGGAAACCGGAGCAGAGTAGGAGAAGGCCCTTTTGCCTAGTTCAGTCTGCACTGAGGGAACACTGCAGGTAATAATGTCCTGAGAGCGCACGCTGTAACTGCACTCACGCAGAGACATGTAGGAGGAGGTTTAGACCTATTTAAGAAGATCAAACTTACATTTTTCCCGTATTATTACAAAATTTGCAACAGAAATGCAAATTTGTGTACTGTGGAGACCTGTTTTATACTAATTAGTAGCACAGCCACATGTTTGATAGTTGTTGTTTTTTTGCACCATCGTTGTACAATTACTAATTCTAGGGGACATTCTGTGTAAACTAGTTGAAGCCATTTCTTTTAAATCACTATTTTCAAGTTTTTACATATCTAAACTGCATTTTCATGAATGTCCTGAAAGCATCTGTTAAAAAAAAAAAACCCTTGTGTTAACTAATGTTGCATAATTTGAATTTCATCAGACCATCACACTCCTGCACTGTGCAGGCTGCACATCTGCAGGCCAGTTTCTATAAAATCATTTTCAGCTCTGATTTTCTTGCTTTTGGAGCGGCGCCGACTGTGTGTAGCTTTGACCTTACTGGTGCAACTACTTAAATTATTAATCAAGAGCTAATTCTACTCCCATAACTACTATCATTATCTTACTACCTTAGTTTAATGTGTTCCATATGTTGTCAACAAATAAATTCCAGCTGATCCTTCTTGTTAAATGATAAATTGTTGATTGTTGTGCCTCAAACAGCATGTTGTGTTTTTATTGCATCATAAGCTGGACTATGCTAAAATGTGCTGGTATTTAAACAGCATTCAACAAAACTGTGAATCTGAGGAAGTCTTGTGCAAATGATTTAGTCCAGGGGTGTCAACCTCGGTTACAAAAGGGGGACAAAATGAAAAACCTGGTTTAAACCAAACGTCAAATTCTATAAGTTTGTGAACTCAAGTCAGATACATGAGATCTTTTCTTGTTTGCAGGTTCATGTGATGTTCTCTGTTGCTCTTCCCACATCAAAATCAGATTGCTGAATAATACAAACAAGTCTTTCTTGGCTTCAAAGTTGACCATCTTTCATGAGAAGTTTGCACTAAATACAGTAAATGTCCTGATGCATGCTCAATAAGCCAGGTAGATGAATCTAACAAGGTTAAGTCAGGTCTTCTAGCCAGATTCTTCTTTGTTGAAACGTTTCATCTTGAAATCTTTTGGATAAAAAAAGAAACGTTTCAACAAAGAAGAATCTGGCCAGAGGACCGGACTTAGCCTTGTTAGATGCAATAATCATGAAGTTTACATAAATGAATGTAATTTATGAATCATAAATCATGAAAGACCCCACTCACCCAGCACACACACATTTTGCCCCACTCCTCTCAGGCAGGAGGTTCAGGAGCATTAAGTGTAGATCCACTGGACTGAGGAACAGCTTCTACCCTGAAGCTGTTAGACTCATGAACCTCTAACCAGGAAAATTACTATTAAAAAAAAGAAAGAAAAATCACTGTAATGCCACTTTTAATTGGTGATATGTGGCTTGTCTGTGCTGCTGATCTCATGCTGCTGATTATCTCATGTGGCTGTATTCATTCATACCCATCTACTCACTACAGACTCGTGTTCGGGCTGCGGTTTAATATACCGTATTGTTTTACATTATTAGTGTTTAGCGTGTATCTTAGATCTTTTAGCGTGTCGTTTTGCACAGTTTTTCTAAGTGGGGGCCGCCAGGGGGCACTAGGGTGGCCCCAGAAAACTGGAGAGAAGAAGATGAAAAAGCAAAAATAAAAAATAGTAATAATAATAATACAAATTGCCCACTAGGTCAATCTGTATCTGTTATTTCCAGATAAACATGCTTGATAGAGAGGTTAGATTTCTTTTTTTTTGTCCTTCTGGTCAACAGTTTGTTGAAAAGTTATTTTTTCCAGTGGGAATATGTTTAAAACATGTTAGTTAATAACATTTTTCTGCTCAGCAGCTGTAATAATGAATTGAATATAGTGAATAAAAGTCAAAACATTCTAAAAGTTGATGTTTCTTTACATATTTTGTAGCATTGTTTGTGGGTTTGCGGGCGGGTGCCTCGGCCAGAAGCTAATGCTGTTTGGGGGGCCATGACATGGAAAAGTTTGGGAACCCCTGGTTTAGCGTATATCTGTGTATATCTTAGATTCTTATATACTGTTTCTTTTTATACCTTATGTTTTTGCTATTTTTGAGTGTAACTGAGACATTGAGTACACAATTTCATTCCACCTCATGTACCACATGTGATGCAAATGACTATAAACTTAAACTTAAATAAAGTATGCTAGGTTTTAAAGCAAAATGAAAGGCCATCAAAAAGTTTTACGTTTATAATAGAGCCAGATTTTGAGTTTGGCACGTGGTTTAGTCTATTCTTGACTAATAATCAATAGTGTTATGTTAGCCTCCTTATTGAGTGTCATGTTAACAATAATCCGATTTACAAACAAGCAAAAAGATTTGTGTTTTCCTCAGAGAATGAGTGAAAAGTTTTAATTTTGTCTTTTGTCTCCGGTCACTCACTGCAGAGGACCACTGTGGTTACACTTCAGTCCAAGCTAAAGAGTGTCACTGTCTGTCCACAGTACTGAATTGACCTGGATTACCCCCAGTGGGAGGACACACACACACAAATGCATCAGACATTCACAGTCCCTTTGTTGGCTTCTGCCAGTGAAATAACTGGTCTGGGTTAGCCTCTAAATATGTCCCTCTATAAAGAGCTGTAAAGTAAACACCGCTGCGGCCGAGTCCTGACCAAAACGTGAGGCGTGCAAAACCCAAGGTCAGTCACCCAGCTCTAAACTGGTCCCAGTTAAGCCAACCCCCACCATAGGAAAAGGACTCCAGACAAGTCGGGCTTGGCTTTGTTGTTCAGCTCGTATAAAAATAAGTTAGGTGTTTACATTTAAAGATGGTTGAGTCTCTGCTGAAGCTGAGGTTTGGTGTTGAGAAACCTCTTTCAACAGTTATAATTTGCTGGAGTCGGTTCATTCCAGGTTAAACGTCTCGTGTTGTCTTTGGCCTCACAGATTACCTAATCTGTGTTATCAAATGAAATGCTTGAGTCTATAAAGTTTGTTCCATTTTTAGGTTTTTTAGCCAGAAATGCTTTGAGATTTAAACATAGATCTGCTAGAATACCTACAAAACCTTTCCCCTTATTTCCTCGGTTCTTTTATTCATCCTATTCCCCAGTTGTATTCCCCCCATTTTTTCCCTGTATTCTTCTTGATCCTGTTTGCCTCTAAATGTCTGCGTTGTATCTGCTCTCTTCCTAATTTTAACCCATTTTTATCATAGATTTTATTTTCCTTTCCACATTTTCTTCTTAATTATTCATTTCTATTAGGGATGCACAATATTATCGGCATGGTATCGGTATCGGCCGATGTTAGCGATAAAGTTAAATATCGTACATCGGCCATTCCATGAAAATAACTCGCAATATAAAATGCACTTTTTGTATGAGAACCCAGTGACGAGGATGCCTGCAGCGTCAGCACAACGTGATGACATCACGTGCGCTTACCTGATCTGATCGTGGCAGGAGAGGAAGAAGTGAAAATGTTGGCGGTGTAGAAGTTTTTTAAAGTGTCGGAAACTGATAGATAGCATATATAATAGATACTATATACTATTAATGCACTACTACTTATGCACTTTTCACTTGTCGCTTATGAACAGATTGAGTTTAGATTTGTGAAAATTTCCACTGTTCGAGTGTTATCATTGTGTTAGAGAGAGTAAACGTCATAAATAAATTGGACATTTAACATAATCCAAGTTGAAGTGTTGCATCATTTTCAGCCCCCCCACCCCCCCCCCACCTTGGCATCTGCATTTGGTAGCAGGCCAAACTGACAAAGACCATGCAGATCAATGTAGTATTTTAATCCCACAGCAGAGAAAGCTATGTAGTCTCTGTAAATAGGTCTAGGAAAAAAATATTGGTATCGGTTATTGGCCAAATAAGTTTTAACATATCGGATATCGGCCCAAAATCCAATATTGTGCATCCCTAGTTTCTGTGCATCTTTAAGGGTCATTTGCTTCCTTCCACCTATGATGACGTGAGTTAGCATTATATACTTGCCTCAATATTTCCTCCAGCAATAGTCATTCTTCATCATCATCTCTAAAGCCCTGAAAATGTTTCTGTCTTGTGTATTAATACCCCTCTTATCATCATTTCAACGCTCTTGAACTACTCAGGATTTTTTTCACTGTTTACCATCCACTTAAAACTGAGTCAGTGCCTAACAGATCTGTAGATGTTCTGTGAGTAACACACACTTAGGATGATGACTCAAACTTCAGGAAGTGGCTCTGTGTGTTTCCAGAATGAAAACAATGTAGTGACATAAAGGCAGGGGGGCTTATGGTAAATATAAAAACGTTAACACTTAATGAGCCAAAGTCCTTTTTTCACATTTGAAATTATTTGTTTAAATAAATTTAAAAAACGGTATTGGCAGTGTTTACTTTTTTGTTCGTTTTTCTTTCTCTCAAGCCTGTTTTATCTAAATTGAGTTTATTGTAGTTGGAAATACCCTCTGTCCGGCTGTCCATGCACGTTGTGAGCATGATTACTTGGAAAAATAAGTGAGGTATGGACAGACTTCCATTTTGTTGTGTGGCTACATATAGGTGTTAGATAGGTTCCTTTCCAAAATTGGGTTGCCATGTCAAAATCTGAGATGGCTGCCATTATATATATATATATATATATATATATATATATATATATATATATA